AATTGTTCCTGTCTAGAAATAATGTGAGCTTTTCTGCACACAATTATTTTTTCACTGTCTTCTGTATGCACCTGTACAGTTATTCGTATTGCCAGTGAAGAGGGAGGAGTGTGAATAGAAATGCCTGATGTTAAGCACCCTTTCTTCTGTCCCATGTTGCTGTCAAGAAGAAAAAAGAAAAGCTCAGTGTAACCCCAGTTGTAGTTGGACACAAAATACCCTAAAGAAACTGGCCACTTCTGTGAAGCACATCTGCAGGCATAGCTTATGGAATTGTTGATGTGTGTTTGAAGCAAAAAGGTTAGTGAGATTCAAAGAATTGCTACGTGAAATGATGGCAAACATTACATGACGTCAGAAGTGAGAGAGAGATTTATCAGTCACTTGCTCTTTGGGAAAATTTCCACTGAACCCCAAAGGTCAGGCTATCATATAGCTGTTTACTGCAAGCTTCTTGCATCTGTGTGTAGGTTTGGGTTGGGTTTTTTTTTGTTGTTGTTTGTTTTTTTTGGGTTTTTTTTTGTTGGTTTTTTTTTTGGTTTTTTTTTTTTTAAAGAAGGTTCACTGCTCCTAGTCTACACTGAGTAATGCTCCATCAGATCTGGCAATTTCAGTTCCAACAACTTATTTCAGCACCAAATTGTTTTGTTGCTATAATCTTTTGTTACGAAGTTGTCAGCAGCTGTGGTTACGCTGCTCTGTTTCCAGAGGAGTACCAGGGCTTTGCAGCTTCTTTAGTGTGTGGGCATAACCCGAGGTGTGAATGAAGGGTAGGTAAGAATATTTCTGCTAGCATTTAGTTCTGTTGGCACAAGAGTAACAATAGTAATAGAGCTGTATCTTCTGTGCTGTATGCAGGAGTTATCATGTGCTTACTTTGTACCACTGTGCTCTTGATACTATTGTTGTGCAAACCACCCTAAAGCTGGGGGGGGGTTAGGCTTAGCTATGCTTCCTTTGCACCTTGTGTTGTAGACTCACAAACGCCTCATTTGAGGTATACTTTCAAATGTGACTTCAGTGATGACAATTAATCACTATAATCTGCCCTGTAGCTAGTATGAATTCTGTGCTCATGTCCTTCAGTGTTAAGATACTTCTTGGTGTGTGCTGATCTTTGTTTTGGGGTTTTTTATTTAAGGTGGGTAACTTTTGCCCCCTGCCCTGCTTTCATTTTTGTGTAGCTGCCTGTGTCACCCACTGATTTCACTTAGATCATCCTTTCTGTTGAGACAGAACTGAGCAGTTGTCTGAAAAGGCTAAGGATACTTTTCCGGAGTTTCTGGGAAGCCTTCGCAAAACATCAGGTGTGCTTCATATTCACTGTAGTCATGACTTCAGCTTTCTTGCCATGATCTAGGTTCTTCTTTTCTTCTGTTAGCTTCTTAATTGGAATTTAGATATACTCACTGGTGTTCTAGTGAAATAATCACTTGAATTAATAAAGTGGTGTGTCTTTACATAAGATTTTTCAGGATGCTGTTAGCTAAGCTGGAGTCGGAAGGCATTCTCTTCATTGGGGCAATTATATAGTGGCTTATGATGGAGGTTTATTTAACATCAGACGGGCTTTTACAATCACAAATAACAGAGTAAAAAGGCTCTTGGCAGTTTATACCTTATAGGTAAGCTTAGCATATTCACACCTCAACTAAGAAATGTTTAATAAATTTTCACAGGTCTATGCTATTTCTTGAAGATTATCAGATTTCAGTGATGGGTGATATAACTATATTTAGTTTCCTATGTAGAATCACATTTTCATTCCCCTTTGCAGATTCCTGTATGGATTTCAAAATCTGTAGAGATGGCCAAAGGGGTATTTATAACTTAAGATCCAAAAAGAAGAGAATAACGTATGGAGTTAGTTCAGTAATGACTGATGATATAACTGACCTCCTGTGATAAAGGAGGTGAAACTGAGTCACACCCCAGGGGTTTGCTAGATCAAAGCTGTGGTTTGGTAGATGCTGTTTCTGCTGGCAGTCCTTATTTAAATGGATTCAGCAGCTTGTGCCTACTCTTTCTGGGCTGTTTTTTAGCTGAATTGTTTCAGCTAGTCTGGTTTTAGTAGGTGGCTGTGTGTTGCAGGTAGAGAATGATGTAGGGCAGGACTGAGTTGCTAGGGGAAGGCAACCCTCTTCAAATAGGCTGCTTTGGAGGATGAAATACAGCTAATATCTCGGCCAGTTTAACCCGCACATCCAACAGGCTTCTGCGCGGTGCCAATACCTATCTCTTGAGGATGGAGTGGAAATCATTGGTATCCTGTGCTTCTACATGTACAGCTTTT